TGTTACAATTGCAAAAAAATTCTTTTGAAATTCATTATCTAATCCTTTCTTTATCATATTAATGTTTGTAATCTCTTTTTTAAAAAAATTAGATATTAATTTTAATTTTTTCAACTTGTGCGATCTCCATTTTCTTTTTTTTTTTGCAATTTAAAAATTATTAGATCAGAGAAACATATATTTGTTACAATTGCAAAAAAATTCTTTTGAAATTCATTATCTAATCCTTTCTTTATCATATTAATCTCTTTTTTAAAAGGATTAGGATTATTAATTCTAATTTTTTCAACTTGTGCAATTTCCATTTCTTTCTTTTTTTTTTTTTTTTTAAGATTTCGCAATTTAAAAACTCTTAAATCAGAGAAACGTATATTTGTTACAATTGCAAAAAAATTGTTTTAAAATTCAAAATTTTTTTCTAATCCATTTTTTATATCTTCTATTGATTAAATTACAATTACGATGATTTTTTTTATGTAAAATTAAAGATTCGTCCCAATTAAAATTGATCTTTCGAAACGAATATTATTTATGGAATGATCCAACATGCCTTTATTGCTCTGTGCAACTGTCTCGCCTCGTTTTCGCACGCATTCCCTAGATTTCTCGCTAGCATTTCATTAGCTTACTCTCGCTCTTCTTCTCGTCAACAGAGTGGATAAAAAATTGTTAAAACCATTTTCGACATGGTCATGCCGCCTCGAACGTCTTCATTTTTCTGCGAGATACGAAAAAAAATAACGTAACGGTACGCATCTACGCGTAGACCTCTGTAAATGTAGAAATGTTAACAATATTTGTCGTTTGGTCATGGTAGCTTGCCACCGTTATTTATTATTAATTAGAAAACAAGAAAAAAAAATAAATTAAAAAAAGATTGCTAGAGCTAATTTTAAAAAAAAAATTTTTAAAATTATTTCTATTGTCAATTGTCGAGTAAATTATTATGTCGAATAACGAATAAAATAAATGAAACGAATATATGTATATAGTATATACATAATCGTAATATATATAATTATCTGTACAATATGCAATGAGACGTGCGGTATAACCCGTCGAAGCAGTTATAAACTCTTTTAAAACACCCTGTATATATATAATATATATATATATATAATATTAATAATCAATAATAATATCAGTTTGTATTGTACAGGCTATTTTGAGGGCTGAAAGCCTGTGGTCTCTAATATTTTACTTAACCTCCTTGAACCCATACGCTTTCTCCCATCATTATATTCTACTTAAGTTATTCTTTAATAATATATTTTAATCTCGCTTTTTTTTCTTTTCTTCTTTTTCGCTAAGTGTAGCAAGGTATTATGTGACATAACGGAATTTAACCATCTTTCGCTTTTTTTTTTTTTTTGTTTCCTACCGTTTCATCACCCGCTCATTCTCATTTTTTTTCATTTTCTTAAGATTCATTAACGAAATAATCATTGTAAATGTATTATAGCTTTACGTTAACTTTTTTTTTTTTTTTCATCATTACCATTACTTTTACAGTTTAATATGTTAGCTTTTTTTTTTTCTCTCTTTATCTATCGTAGATTTGTCTGTGGCTATCCCTGATGTGTTAGTTACCCTGCGCTTCCGTCTGGTTGTCGAAATATTGTTTTTTTGCGAAATTGTGGTCTACGATTAAAATTTCATCATTTGTCCCC